AAAAAATATCCAGTGGACTTCTAGATACTTAGCCTATACCTAGATTCCTCACCAGAGTCCAGGCCATGAAGGGCACATGCATTCTCTTTGGGGAGAGGAACGCGCAAGGATTCATTCACAAACACAGTTTCTGGGCATCCTCTAGGTTCTGAACACAGTGAATGTTGCACTGACACTGCCAGGGGTCGTGAGAGGCCAGGCTAAGTCTCATCTGCAGCTCAGCAAGAAAGATGCTGGGTGAAGACTCTCTGTGGGTCCAGAAGACCAGAAATTCTGTCCACCTCCAGTCACGGTGTTTCCACCACAGTTCTTTGAGCTTCACAACCCCACAACATACCATGTGATTTTAAGGGGGGGAGGGGCGGTATGTGATCACCCTGGACTAACAGTAATGACTGCCACCCAGAGAGCTACCACTTCACACCAGGTACTCACTGAATCATCACAGTAACATGCAGTACAGGGTAATGAGCCTCGCCTTTCAGACAGCACAGAGCAGAGCGAGAAAGAGCAAGAGAGAGAGAGAGCGAGAGGAACCACGTTTCCCGGGATCGCACCGCTGACAAGGCACCACTCCACAGTGATGGCTTGGGCTCTGAGTCCATCTGATGCCCAAGCACATGCTCCCGGGCCCACTACCACAGCTCAAGAACTTCAAGCCACCTTCTAAGAAAGAAGGGTGGGCCACCAATTTCTCTCATGACTGGTATGTCCTGATGTTCCATCTCCTCTCCATGAGCACAGGTGTTGAAGCGTGTTTCTTTGGTGCAGGGTAAGGTGACAGAAAGGGTCCTGAGTGGGACTTGGGCGCAACAGGTCACTGGCCAGTCATGTGGCCTGCAAGCCACTCTGCCTCCTGCCTCACCTTCCTCACCTTGAAACAGAGAAAACAGATACCACCTGCTTCCTTCCAGGGGCGCTCCCGCCTAAACAAGACCCAAGACCGCAGGTTGACCTATTCTGGAAGCTGCAAAGCATCAGATAACTGTAACACATTATCCCTGAATGGCAGGGGCAGGGGAGGCAAGGAACTGCAGTGTCCTCACAATCCTGCCTTACAGGGAGGGAGGAGGAATTGAAAGACAATAAGCACTGTCAGGAACTTGAGGATGGGAAACTGCACAGGCCCGGGGTTAAAAATTCTAACCCTGGGGCTGGAGCAATAGCACAGCGGGTAGGGCGTTTGCCTTGCACGCAGCCAACATGACCAACACAGGTTCAATTCCCAGCACCCCATATGGTCCCCTGAGCACCGCCAGGGGCAATTCCTGAGTGCATGAGCCAGGAGTAACCCCTGAGCATCGCCGGGTGTGACCCAAAAAGCAAAAAAAAAAAAAAAAAAAATTCTAACCCTGGGGGGCTGGAGCAATAGCGGTGTTGGCCTTGCACGCAGCTGACCCGGATTTGATTCCCAGCATCCTGTATGGTCCCCCAAGCACCACCAGGAGTAATTCCTGAGTACATGAGCCAGGAGTAACCCCTGTGCATAGCCAGGTGTGACCCAAAAAAGTAAAAAAAAAAAAAAAAATCTAACACTGGATGCCAGAGAGTGGTACAGTGTTTGCCTTTCCTGTGGCCAACCAGATTCAATCCCTTGCCCCACATATGGTCCCCTGAAGCCTGCCAGGAGTGATCCCTAAGCACAGAACCAGGAATAAGGTCTGACCATGGCTGGGTGTGGTCCGAAAACCAAAAGAAAAGAAAAATTATAACACAGGCTGAAGAGCTAGCTCCAGGCACTGGAGCAGATGGCTTGTATGAGGAAGGCCCAATAAAAAAGAAGGGGGAAAAGTCCAACTAGATGGGCCAGAGAGAGAGCGCCACGGATAGGTGACTTGCCTTGCTTATAGCTAGCCTGGGGTCAATCCCTGGAACCACAAATGGTCCCAATGAGCACTGACAGGAGTGATCCCTGAGGACAGAGCCAGGTACATATGAAATATTACTCAGCCATTGCACTGCACTGTAGCACTGTCATCCCATTGTTCATCGATTTGCTTGAGTGGGCACCAGTAACGTCTCCATTGTGAGACTTGTTGTCACTGTTTTTGGCATATCGAATACGCCACGAGGAGCTTGTCAGGCTCTGCCATGCGGGCGAGATACTCTCGGTAGCTTACCGGGCTCTCCGAGAGGGACGGAGGAATTGAACCCGGGTTGGACGCATGCAAGGCCAATGCCCTACCCACTGTGCTATTGCTCCAGCCCATACTCAGCCATAAGGAAAGATAAGTTGGGGCCGGAGTGGAGCGATAGTATAGCAGGTTAGGCGTTTGCCTTGCACACACCAACCTGGTTCAATCCCTGGCATCTCATATGGTCCCCCAAGCACTGCCAGGAGTAATTTCTGAGCGCAGAGCCAAGAGCAACCCCTGAGCATTGCTGGGTGTGACCCAAAAAGAAAAATAAATAAATTATCACGATAATGAAAAAGAAAGAAAGAAAAGATAAGTCATGCCGTTTGCTCTAGATAGAGGGACCAGGAGAGTATCATGGTGAGTGAAGTTAGTCAGAGGGAGAGAGAGAAACCAACACAGGATTGATATCTCTCTCTCTCTCTCTTTCTCTCTCTCCTTCTCTCTCTCCCTCTCTTTTTCCTCTCTCTGTCTGTGTGTGTGTGCGTTGTGTATGTATGCGTGTGTCTCTCGTGAGGTATAAGGAAATATAAGGGGGAATAATGAATGTTCAAAAACAATGGAAACAAAGAATATGAGAACCGGTATCCATCAGGAAACAGGCCACCCGAGGCGGCCAGGGGACAGGACAGAGAGGGGACAACTTCTATGGGGGAGGGAAGCTCTCAACCGGGAGAAGAGGGGGCGGTGCTGAAAGGTGATAAGGTATTAGGTATTAAACCTGATCAGCAACAGACCCGTAAACCACAGTGGAAACACTTGTATACTGAAAAAGTCTCCCTCCTAGAGGCAGACAGGTGGGCGGGAGGTAAACGGGGAGGAGGGGAAACTGGTTGAAGGGAAGTGGGCACTGGGCAAGGAGCAGTGTTGAAATATCACGGGCCTGAAAGAAATCCAATCATGAATCACTTTGTAATTTCACAGTGACTAAACTTTTAGAAATTAAATTTTTTTTAAAAAATTATTTTGTTTTCAAGCTTTTTATGAGGGGAGGGAGGGGTTACACCCAGCATGCTCACGGCTTCCTCCTGACAGTGCTCAGGGAACCATATGGGATGCCGGGGATGGAGCCCATACTTTGCAGCATGCGAAGCAAACACCTCACCTGCTGTATGATCGCCCCTCCCAACTCCTTGTCTCTTTGTAAATCTTCCCATGGCACCTGGACCATCGCTGTGCAGATAATCATCACTAAAGGGGTCCTCGTTGTGACCTCGGAGCAGCCCCCCTGAGGTCCAGCAGCAGCTCTGAGTGCCCGTGGGGAGAGGCATTTCATCAGTGCATCGATTCAGAGTAATAACACATCCACCGCCCAGCCACCAAGCACCCTAACAACTAACAATACAAAAGCTTGTTTCTAACACAATACATAAATATTTGAGAGACAATTATGTCTGTGCTGTGTCAAACTTATTTTTAGCCTGCTTACGATGTGGTGCCCGTGTGGTCCAATCATTAACTCATCAATGCCCGAGCAGCACGGCCACGGGCAGGAGGGTCCCCCCGTTACCGCCCCCCCCCCCCCAAAGACCATGACAGGAATGTCAGGCCCTGGTGCCAGCCTGCTTCTGCCAGGATCGGGTCGGCCATTTTAGAAATCAAGATCTGTCAGCGACGGGCAGAAGAAGGCTCAGATGATGGCAAGGGACCGAAAGAACGAGAGAGACGGGGAGAGAGAGCAAGAGCGTATGTGCAAACAGGTATCTCTCTGCAAATGTGTCCTGTGAGAACCGGAATGATGGCGTGAAAGAGAACTGCCCACAAAGAGTCTGTAATAGCCAGGGAGCAGAGACCAATGCCCCTAAGTGAGAAGATGCCAGAAGAGAGGTTACAGGTGACAGCGGTAGCCCCAGGGAGGCTTCCCAGAAGAGGCAGCCCTGAGCACCTAGTGAAGGGTGACATGGGCCGGGCTGAAAGATGGAGACAGAGGCAGGAAAGCAGGTCCCAGCCCTCCTCTCCACAGTGGACACACTTCCCCAGCTCCCTGAGAATAAAAATCCAAACTCCTCACCACCGCCTACCCACCCCTGCACCCGGGCCAGGCTGGGCAGTTGGCACCTTGCCAGTTGCCACTGGCTCTGGCAGGGGAGCTCTGGGGCTCCAGGCTGGAGGGACTGGCCCTCACTCTTCAGGTTTCCATCACCCCGTCACAGGTCTTTGTCCCCCTCCCCAGAGCATCTTTGATTCCTTCCCAGCCCCACTGGCGATGGGAACGGCGGATTTTGACTGCACGCATAAACGGACACGCTTTCTGTGTGCACGGTGGATTTCCTCGCCCGGGGTCCCAGGCGCTGGCGTCTCACCTACCTGTTCGCTCCAGGCCCTGGTACGCGGGGGCGGGAGCGAGGGGGGACTTGTTAAAATCGGGGAGGAAAGCGGCGAAGAGACTCAAGAGATGCAACAAAATGCAGTCGGCCGTGGGAAGACCCGAGAAACGCTTTGATTTGGGAACTGCTTGTCGGTGGCTCCACGAGTCACCGCCAGCAGACAGGTTGCAAAGCCGGGTGGGGACCTTGCCGGAAGGAACCTGGGTCAGGATTCTCGCCCTCCCACGGCTTCTGCCCTGGGGATGCAAACCTGACGTCCCAGACGTACTCCGGGCAGCTCTGGATCCCGAGCCAAAGGGACAGGTGGGGACTTTTGCGGGAAAGCAGCTGCCAGCACCTGCGCCCACCCGAGCTGCGGCAGCGGGGAGGGAAGCGCTGGGAAGGGGTCGAGCCCGACCCCCGCGAGAGCAGGGTCGGGGTGCAAAGTAGCGTCGGCCAGGTGCACCCCCGGGCGCGTCCCATCGCTGGGGGAGGCGGGGACCGCGGAGGGCAGCGCCCGGGAGGTGCCACCTGCAGCCCCGGCCGCGCCCACACTCACCCCGCGCCGCCGGGCCCGCCGAGCGCGTCCTCCACAGCCGCCGGGTCGCCTTCCAGGGCCGCAGCGAAGAAAACAGCCTTCGGCTCTTCCTGCCGCCCTTCTCAGTTGCTCCCATCTGTGCACCCGCGCCCTCCCCGCCGCCGACGGTCGCCTCCCGCCGCCCCGACCGCCGCGCGTCTGCCGCGGGCCGCCCGGGCAGTCGCGGAGCAGCCGCCACCGCCGGGGGCGGAGCTTATAGTCAATGGGCGTGGCTTAGATGGACTGGGCGGGGCTTAGAGGGGTTTAGCGGGGCTGGGCGGGGCTTAGCGGGGTTTAGCGGGACTGGGCGGGGCTTAGCGGGTTTTAGCGAGACTGGGCGGGGCTTAGAGGGGCTTAGCAGAACTAGGAGGGGCTTAACGGGACTGGGCGGGGTTTAGCAGGACTGAGGGGTTTAACCGGATTTAGCGGTACTGGGTAGAGCTTAGAGGGAGTGGGTGGGTTGGGCTTAGTGGGACTGGGAGGGGCTTAGGGTGGTTTAGCGCGAATGGGCGGGGCTTAGCGGAAGGGGAGAGGGCGGGGCTTCGCGGGACTGGGAGGGGCTTCGGCGGTGGGGGCGTGGCCGCCCCCTCCCCCCTACTTCCCCCCCCCCCCCCCCCAGCTGTCAGGGAAGTGTCGGGAAAGGGAGTGAATGCCTAGGGACTGAGAGGCATCAGTAATTAACACGAAAATCCCAGCGGAGGAGCATTGATTTTTTTTTTGCTCTCCAAACTAATGGCCAGATTGCTTTTTGCTCTCTACGTTATAAATGATCAAAGTACAAATGACCAAGCAGATGCAGCTCCGAGAGGATGTCATCTGCCTAGGAATCTCAGGGTTGCCAAGTGGTGACAACTGGTGACAAATTCCAAAGTACCAAGCTTGAGCTTGTCTTTAAAAAGTCTTTGTTTCTACCTCAGAACAATCCCACACTATGTTACCATTTTATTTTTCACATCTAACAAATAGCCCTCCTTACCGTGTGTGATAGATCATAAACCACTGCCAGATTATAAACATCCATTTATCATAACCAAATGTTTTATATACAATTTATAATATTAAAATGAGAATATGGAGTCAGAGAGATAGTACATAAGTTAAGGCACTTACCTTGAACGCAGCCAACTTTGCTCAATCCCTGGTACCCTATATGATTCCCCAAGCCCCACAAGGATTAACACCCGAGCACAGAGCTAGGAGTAAGCCTAGAGTATACCAGAGTGTGACCCCATCACCAAAACAAAATAAATAAAATGCTTATTTTTTAAAGGGGTGATTGAAGAAACATATTTCAACACTTTAAAAGCCATATATGACAAGCTCATATATATTGTCATAATGATAGAAAACTGAAATATCTTCAGATTTGAAACTAGACAAAGATATTCACTCTTGGGACCAGAGAGATAGTACAGCAGGTAGGGCATTTGTCTTGCATGCAGCCAACCTGGGTTTGATACACAGCACCCCATAAAGTCCCCCAAGCACTGCCAGAAGTGATTCCAGAGTGCAGAGCCAGGAGTAACCCCTGAGCACCACTCGGTATAACCAGAAATGAAGGACATTCACTCTTTTTCTTTCTTTTTCAGTTTTAGTAACTACAGTGCTCAGGGGATACTCCCAGTTCTGTGCTCAGGGTTTGTGCTCAGTCATGCTCAGAGGCCTTGCAGTGCTGGGGCTAGAAGTCCAAGGCTCTGCATGCAAAACATGGGCTCAGGGGCTTGTGCAATATTTGCCTTGCATAAGGCTGAACCGGGTTCGATCCCTGGCATCCCATATGGTCCCCCCTTCCCCAAGCACCACCAGGAGCAATAATTCCTGAGTGTAGATCTAGGAGTATCCCCTGAGCATCGCTGGGTGTAACCCAAAAAGGAAAAAAAAATGCACTCAGCCCTTTGGGACATCTCTCCTGCCCAGCTTGTCCACTCTTAAACTACTCTTCAACATAGATTTAGATCTTCTAACCAGAGTAATTGAGCAAAAGATATAAAAGAATCCACATAGCAAGAAAGGAATAAAAAGTATTCATAAATGACATAACAATATATAGAAAACTTTAAAACTGTATCCAAAAAGTAATATAAGTGATGAACTCAATAAAGAAGGAGCATATAAAATCAAGACACATAAATTGGATAAAATATTAGGTAGAAGGCAAGCAATCTCAATTTTAAAAATATTAGCACACAAGTCTCAACCTGTAACAACATGTCAGTAATCTCTTATACGAGGATTCAATGGCTCCAGGGTGAGATACAACAATCTTCACACAGTTCTCCTAAGGAAAAACTTTTTTGATCATTTTAGAGAATTATTCATAACAATCAATACAAAATAAATTATTTAGGGACATCTATTGAAACAGGTTTGGGTGGTGGTTGGGAAAATTCGAAATAATGGTGTAAGATGTAATGGGGTGGGATTGGTGTTAGAATACTGAATGTGATAAATTATTGTGAACAATCTTATAAAAAATAAAATAAAACTTAAACAATCAAGATACATGAATCCATAAATCTGGGAGCTGGATAGGACAGCTGGTAGGGCATTTGCCTTGCACATGACCCAATCCCTGGCATCCCATATGGTCCCCCGAGCACCACAAGGAGTAATTCCTGAGTGCAGAACCAAAACTAAACCCCTCAGCATTGTCAGCTGTGACCCCAAAAGCCAAAAAAGACCCATAAATCTGTTGCATTTTCCCCTAGCTTTACACCATACCCCCACACACACACACACACTAGGTTTTTTAGCCACACCCAGCAGTGCTTAGAGGTTAATCCTGGCCGGGTGCTTGGGGATCACACACCTAATAAGGACTGAAGAAATAATATAGCAGGTAGGGAGCTTGCCTTGCATCTAGAGTCAGTTCCATATGTCTCCTGAGCACTGCTAGGAGTAATTCCCAAGTACAGAGTCAGATGTAACCCTTGAGCGTCACTGGGTGTAACCCCAAAACTTAAGAAATAAATAGTACCACCAGTCTGGAAAAGAGTTTAGCTATGTCTTATAGAACAATGCATACAGCCATCATAAGATCCAGTGATTGCATTTTGGGGTATTTATTCCAGAAGAAATGAAAATTTACATTCACCTCAAAACCTTTACACTAACGTTCATAGCCAGTTCTTTAAAAAAAAAAAAAATAGCAAAAAATCTGGAAATGGGGCCAGAGAGGTAGTAAAGCAGGTAGGACACTTGCCTTATATGTGGCCAATCCTGGTTTGATCCCTGGCACTGCATATGGAAGAGATCCCTGAGTACAGACCCAAGAGAAAGCCCCGATCATCAGGTGTGGCCCCCCAAACCAAAGGAAATCTGGGAAGCCCCCCGAGATTCCCTAGTGGTGCTCATTAAACAAGCTGTGAGCCACCCAGGCGGTGAAACACCACTGAGCAATAAAATGTGACAAACGACTGGTGATGTTTCTTCAGGGAAATATCGCGAGTGAACAAAGCTAATCTCCAAAGCGTTAACTGCTACCTCTCCATCAATAAAACATTCTTGAAAAGGCAAAATGCCAGAGAGGACAGAGAGAGGTTGGCGAAGAGCGGGAGATGGGAGTGGCACTAAGGTGCAACGGGAAGGCTGCTGTGTTGATGCGACTGTTCTGTCTTGACCGTCAAAGCAAATGCGCTGGTGGTGGTGTTAGACCCTCATTAGCCCAATATTCCCATTAGGGGAAGCAGGCAAGTATATACATGTGGGAGCAGGGTATGCTCTTGCCTTGCCTGCAGCTAACCTGAGTTCTCTCCCTAGCACTCTATATGCTCCCCTGAGCCCCACCAGAAGTGATCCCTGACCACAGATTCAGGAGTAAGCCCTGAGCACCGCCAGATGTAGTCCCAAAACAAAACCAAAGTGTGCACATGCTCTCTGTATTATTTCTTATTGCTATATGTGTATATGCAATTAATTTTAAATCAAAGGCTCCATTTATTTTTAAAGTCACCTTGCTTCAATTTCATGTGGTTCTCAGTAATCTCTGAAACATGGTTGAGGGCCCAAAACCAGTAGCTCCATGCCTTAGAAAGCATATCTTGAATGCATATGGTCACGAGTTCCATCTCCAGGGTCTAAACAGGTGCTAACACCATCCTGGCCACTTTGCTTTGAAGTCTGGAAGCTCTGGTTTCTGCAATCCCCAGAACCAGGAGTCTCTCCATGCACATGGCAACCAGGTTTATTATCTCAGTTCTACCAAGGGATGAGACCTCCGTGAGCAACCATAACTAAAAGGAAGTGTGAGCACCACAGCCAGGGAGCACAACCCCTGGCGAGAAAGAGTGCTTGACCCTCAGTAACCCCTCACAAGCACCAGACCTGTTTCCCTCAAATTACGAATTACTCAGCAAATAGAGGTACAGTAACGTCAACTAAAGCAAGGCCAACCTCAGTCGGCACCAAGTGCAAAGACACCAAAACCTGAGCCACACATGAGCCACACATAATATTCTGATGAATATCACAGCCCTGATGTCACAGCAGCGGCAGCAAAGGGCAGGGGTAGGGATGCGGGACAGAGAGATAGTTTGGCAGGTGGGCATTTGCCTTGAAGGTAACCAACCTGGATTTATCCCTGGCACCACACACCCCAAGCCCTGCCAGGAGTGATTCTTGAACGTAGAGCCAGAAATAAGCCCTGAAAACCCCTGGCTATTCTCAGGGGAGAGGAAGAGATGGGGAAAATAAATAAAATACAAAAATGATTTATGGGTCAGAGAGAACAGCGAGAAAGGAGCTTGCCTTGAGTGCGGTTAACCTTGGTTAAATCTCTGGAACCCCAAATGGTCCCTTGAGCCCACCAGGAGTGATCCCTGAGCACAGAAGCAGGGCCCAAAAGCAAACTAACAGAAAATATCATTGAGCACAGATTCAACCTAAGCCCATGTCACACAGCTCCTCGCGGGAGTCACAGCTGGCCCTTCGGAAAAGGTTAGGGCTCCTGTGTGGCTCTCAGGCATGCCAGATTCAGAAAGGCACAGGAGCATGGAGACCCGGGGACACTAGTGTTCTGTCCTGTTCCTAGAGGAAGCCTTGGTGGGCTAGAGAACGCTCTGGCTGGCGTTTCTCGGGTCAGTTTTACCTGAGTTCTCTAATCTAGCGGAATAAAAAGAGAGCAGCGGGGTGTAGGAAGTGAAGAGGGAGAGGTGGGGTGGCGAGCTAGACACACTGAACTTTC